GCAGCAAGGCTCTGCTCTGTGGCGCTAAACAAAACTGCGAATGCCTTCAAGCTTCCGATATCTGATGCACACTTCTAACATGACAGCGTCAAGAGAAACACATTCTCCAGCTCGGATCGAAACATTGCCGGAAACCGGGTGCTACTCTACCGAGTTGGCAGGAGGTCCCATGACGCCGGATAGCTGTCGTTCCTGTGTGAGCTCGAGTCTGAAGCAGCGATCAAACACGTCCAGATCCCGAAACTCCAAGATCTGAGATTCCCAGATAAGTTTTAGATAACCTCCGTTTTGAGTTTCTTCTGCAACCTCGCATACGAAATCCTGATACATAATTCCTCGACTATTATTTACTTAATCCTCCTCTCTTAAGCGCTAAACATTATACAGCTGTCAAATGTTTGCCAAGTCGCAACACTTCCCTTCGCAGACTTACCTCGGCAGTGTTTCAGGAGTCTGTGCGGTTGAGATGGTCATAGCTGTTTGGGTCCCGGACTGGGGGTCTTCAGGCTGTCCTGAGAACAATGTTCTGGAACTTTGCTCTGCACGGTGACAGAGATGCAGCTATCGTGAGTTGTTAGTCAAGCGGCAAAGGGCCCTCAAGATTTTTTCATGGTGGGATATGCTTGCGAGAGAGCACTACGTGTAAGTCCACAAAACACATGCAGGGTTCCGTGTTGATGATAATTTCGTTCGGGTTTTGTCTTTATTGATTGTGCTACTAAAGTAAACTCTCCATAATATAAAAAGACTTTTTTTAAAGTTGTTTACGTGTTTTGTGAGATTACTCATGACACCGGCAGATTCATCTCGTGTTTGTTGAAGGTTTCTACTCCATGGCTAAGCAATGCCTTGTGTTCGTGACGCCACATGTCTATCTTGCAGGGCTGGCGTTTCAATATTCACCGTTATATAAGCTTGTAGCTTGAAACGCGACCAGAATGTTTGAGATTCCCATCATCCAGTCCTACTATACCCAGAAGTTCCCCTACCCATTGGAAGCCTAAGGTAGAGGCAAGGGTCCTAATCGCTTGGCCCTACGGACGGCTCAAGAGGTGTCCGAATATTTCGACCAGCTCTTGCAACCGGGGTGGTTTCATCCGCGGGCCTAACCCTCGAGGAACAAAGGTTTCGAAACTTGATAGTCCAATGTAACTCGAAAGAAGGCTAGAGCACCGATGCACTCGAGCTCTGTTGTTGTTATCAGGATCTTTGCTCACCGCAAACTCGTATTGCGGGCGACAATTTTTGCCTCGGAATGTATTTCCCCGATATCCATATTGAGGCGTGTCTGTTTGGTTCGCATGGGGAGAGTGCCCCGTGCTCCTCTTTTGTGCTTATTTTATTGTTGACGTGGGACATCAGGCCATCCTAGATTACAAGCGTGTTTCGAAGCGGGCGGGGATCGGCAATGCAGCTGGAGATGGTGGAGGAAGATGAACTCGATGGAGTTTGATGCCGGTGCCGGATCGTCGTGTGAATGTCAATATTTGGTTATCTCGCCGTTGTCTTGATCTGGTAGTTCTGATGCATTCATCTTTATCAAAGCTTAATCACAACGTTCGCCACCGTTAGGGCTCGAAGGATTTTCATCCTGTTTGTGCCGGGTAATCTATAAGAAGTCAGATCATAGGAGGAAGAAAAGTCGGAGATTATAAAAACATAGTCACCCTTAGCATCATTTTAGTTGGGTTTTTTACCATGGGTATACGAATCCAATCAAACTATAAGAAGCTTAGTTTCCTTATAGCTGATTTCATTGCAGTGTTTATGGCGATTTAATATTGTACCTATTAAAGAACTAGTGGGAATTTCTCTCATATGCTATGCTGTCTGGAAGGACATGTTGTGGTAGACCTACCCTGGACAACGAAGATGAGTTTGGCCTTCTCTTGACGTCCACTAAATGTGTAATAGTCTCATACAGTTGCCATTCAAGATATCAGCAGGCATTATGAATTCCCATAGCATAATCGTTATAGATAATGTCAGTATCTTTGCCTGTGTGAATACAGCTTGAGTTCGAAGTGTGCCTATGACCGTGAAAGGCGGCATTATAAGTGAGGTTGAGGAGAAAAGAAAAAAAGGGGGGGTTCGACAGCCTCGACGGATAAACAAGCAGAATTACTCAAACTGCATTTCTACAGCATCGCAAACATTACATTAGACCATATCCATCCATATTAATTGCCACCCGTACGATAGAACAAAAACTCCGAGTCCCGGATCCGACGAGGGAGGGACTTGAGAGGTACACAGATTCAATGTCACGATCTTAGCTCGAGACGCGACCAGATTGCCGGGTATACCCCATTGTGTACAGTACTTGTAGGGTGGAGAATCGGGGCAGATCCATCATTTCGAGAGATGCGGCTCTTGAGGCCAGCCATCCTCAAATGGCATGTACCGCAAGACAAGGTACGTAGGTTCAAGAAACGGTGTCAAGACTACATCTAGTACAGATCTGTCATCCAAAGTGGGCTTTCTTTCAACAACATCTCGTGGTTGTTGGAGATAAAGTATGAATTGATCGCGTGGAGTGGGGATGACACCTTGCCATCCATCAACAGAACGAAACATGTTGAAACTAATAAACATAGGAACGTGATAAGATGACAGATGAATGAATAGTAGCAATATCCAAAAGAACAGCAGAGGACACGTGAAAGGACAGCCTTATCCTACCAAGGTTATCGCTGTATCACGCAATGTAGAATGACAGCACGTCACAGAGATAGTAGTGTCAGTGGCTGCTGGAACTGAACACGAAAGCCTCATCAAACAGATTTGATTTGTTACGACAAACGAAATAGATATTGCAAGACACCGACAGCCGTATAATTAATCGCCAACAGGGATTCATTGTTTGATGGGATGATATCGTGAGATTAGACCAGTCGGTGAATTATTAGACAAGGATGGCCATTGACAAGGGACAAACAGATCATGTCAGATCAAAAAGGCGACGCACGCGATGAGACTGCCTAGACTCGTTGGACTGGGATTGACAATTACTGATACCAAGGAGAAATCTCTGCCACTCATCACTTCAACTGATTGAATGCCTGATTCTATGATGAACTTGTACGACGATAACTGAGGCTTGACCAAACGTGGCTTGGCAATTACCGGATCAACCAAAGAAACAAGAGATTTTCATTAGCGGGCGGGGAACGAGAGCACGTACCTCCCAGTACTTGTTTTCGAGATGTTTCCTGCTGGAAGAGATAACATGCTCGTCATCAGCGCACTGTACATAGCAATATAGTTTATGTGGATCAAGACAGTGTGATTACGGAGCCAGATTAGGGGCTCTTCGCGCCTCGGAAGCGTCGGTGACCCACCTTTAGCGCAAGCGTCGTAGCTTTCTGTCACGCCTGCCCACCTCTTTTCGCCCATTCCATTCTCCCCTTTCCACCAAAAAAAAAGGGTAACAGGGTAACCCACGACTACCTTCCCCTCCCCCAGGTCCCAGCGACTTCCAAGGTTCTGCCCGAGTTACTTTGCCTCTAGGTACCATCCATCGTTCCTCCCTCCCCAGACAGACCTGTCTACCTACGTCTCTTTAACCTGCCGCATTCAATCCACCTCAAACTCGACCTGACGGAAACAGAGTTGAATTGAGGTGAGGTATCTATTGTACATCATCCTACAACCCATAACCTCCACGCCCAAATCATCCTCAATCAACCTAGCTGTGGATCCACTCACAGCACCTGCTAAGGCTGAGTGAGGTATCTATCTCTCTATCATTCCGCGATTGCGACCTGCGACAGGCAAGCAAAACGACTTGACTTGTGACTCGACATTCACATTGTGTCGTCACCGTCGCAGACAAACAAGACGCGCATTTGTTTGCTCGTTGCCCCTGGGCCTTTAACAGAAGTCAAGTAAGCATTCTATTCTATATCGTGTCCCATCATTCAATGCCATCTCCCGGGTTTCATCATCACTCATTATTGCGTCTTTACCTACTCATTGAAATGAAAATCTGCACATGTTTTTGAGCGCGCGTCCTGTATCTTCCGCCATTGCCGAGTTGAGATGCGGCAACTGAGCATAAACTCACTCACTCACTCTATTCCCTCATGACTCAATACTTCACCCATCACCATCAATATCACCTGTCGCATCGCATCGCATCGCATCTACCTGCCCACTGTCTTGTCACGGCTACAGTCCTACGTTTCTGTTCACTACGTACCTCACATCACTCGCGTCTTATCGCAGACACGTTACGCGTGTGTCCGCCTGTCCTTTCTTTGTCTGGCTTGCTTGCATTTTCCTGCCTCGTTATAGCCCCAGCCCCAATCAATCTCTTTTCGCTCACAAGCGTCTGCCTCGTCTCCAACCACCCCCCAAAAACAACGGGGCAATGCCAATGTATTCAACATGGCTTCGCCGAGGCGCACGCGAAAAGCAACACAGCATCTGACCGCGCACACGGTTTAGACACGTAGAGCATCGGGCACATGCGATTCCGTTGAACTCGAACAATTTTCTTTATTTCCACTCTCACCACTTACACGCTGATACTGACCCAACCTTAACCAGCGCACAAACGTTGATTACAAGACAAAAAACCCTGATCATCACGACCAGTTGGTACTTACGTGGAGAAATCAAACCGGCATCCCACCATATCACGTTTCAGTTTTTTACCAACCAGATCCCACGGTTGTGTTTCCTGACGCCCTAAAATTCCCTCCCTGCACAGATCTTGTTGAGTACTTCGCAGATACTCGAGATACTCGTCTGTACCTCTCTTGTATCGACGTGGTCGCCCTCACGAGACTGTGACTGGTCACTGTCTAACTCTCTTGCCTTTTAACTCAACTATATTCACGAATCAGTAGTCAGACTTTCGCCCGTGAGTACAAATACTTTCTCTATTGTCAACACCCGTACTCTTGGTCACCAAAACCAAAAAAAAAAGTTCCGCGTTTTTGCGCCATCGCGCTTCTGGTGTTAATACAGAGAGAAGCACTATGAATCGCAACACAATGCAGGCCAATAAGGTGGACCCAAGGCTGTGGTTACAGGTATGCTGCAAATGTTATGATGCGACTATCGTCCTGTTCCTGTCGAAATTCGATATCGACAATAGTTGCGCAGCTCAATTCAGCTCAGACCCTGGTCGCGTCACCCCCAGTTTGCGCGTGCCTCAGACCCACGTTGGTTGATACACCAGTCAGAGTCATGATATGTCTTGTTGTATCGCAGACGCTAGCGTCAGCGTCTCACGACTTTGAACATGATGTTTCCTTGCTTATTGCCGACGTTTCTCTGAATTTGATGGCTAACTGGTACCTTTTAGAACATGCAGCAGTGGCAAGTCGGGCCTGTCCCGGAGTATGTCTACACCAACTCTCATCAGCCAACCGAGATGCAGTAAGTAATACGTCCTTTGATGAACCCTTCTTTCTTGGACCAGGTACCACACCCTCTGTCGATTACAAGTGTAATACGACTCTTTTCCTGTTTCGTCACGGTTTCCCTGGCTTTATAAGGTCCTCAATCGGTGCCTTCGAATTGTGTCTCACGACCCATTTCACCACTGGTAGACCTGACGCCTACCAATGCTACACAAGTAACTTTCTCACATGAAAGTACCTCCAATGCCTGTAGCTTGTGGTTGTGTCGATTACCGAGCCCATTCATATCGATAATGAAGCCCTACGATCGAGAGCCACCCTGCTGACTTGCGCCTCTCAATAGCAACCCTCACCAGTACCAGAACGACATGACTCGTCGTCCTGAGAACATGGAATTCCGCTACGGCGCCCCTCAACCTAATATGGCACCGCAGCAACAACAGCAACCCCAACAGCAGCAGCAGCAGCAACATCACCCGGCGCCTGTTCAACCTCCTCCCATGAACGTTCCTCAGCAGCCTCCAAACGGTGCTGCACCTCAGCAAGTACCTACTCCCTCTCCAGCGCCAGCTGGTCGGTCACGAAAGAGGCCGGCACCTGGTGCCGCTGGACCCCCGGCCACAGCTGCTCCTCCTGCCCCTGTCACCCCATCTCAAGTTCAACCTCCTGTCGCAGCTCCTCCCCCACCCCAGGCGGTTCCTCAACAACCACAACAAGTCCAGACAGATGATGCGAACGCAGCACCAGTTGCGCCTCCACCGGCCAAGAAAAGCCGGACCAACACCCCTTGGACACCACAAGAAGAGTTGCGACTGAAGCAAATGCGGGATGCCGGCAACAGCTGGGCAGAGATTGCCAAGGTAAGACCTACGGTGTAACCTGGGTATGATTCATGTGCTAAAGATGACGTGCAGACTTTCCCTACCAGGACAGAAGGATCTGTCAAGAAGCATTGGTACAAGGTATGCTCGACTAGGAAACCAACTGGAGGATTGATGAAGCTAACTAGGTCTAGGACATGCATTATGCTGAGTTTGCTGAGGACGAGGTAGCCACCATTAGCCCTTTTAATCGAACAACAAAGCTGACCTCCCCTTTATCAGAGCCAAGCGTTATTGAACGCCATCAAGGAGTACGAGAACAACAAGTGGAAGTCAATTGGGCAGAAGGTCAACAAACCTGCCAAGGTACGAACCCTACCCCTCGAAACTTGATATGTAAGGTGTTGACATATGACGTAGGCTTGCGAACAGTACGCCAAAGAACACTTTCCAGGTACGTTTCGACTGCTCCGGTTCGATGACGGAGAGTGAAGAAGCGTTCATTGAAACTGACGTACATAGATTTGTTCCCTAATTCCAAGAGATAGGGCTTTCGCAAGGTGGCTTTGGGCGCTCGAAAGTTTCGCACTCCCGTGAGAACTTGAGAGCCAAGACAATTAAACCAAAATTCCCTACTGTAAAGGGAAAAGACACAAAACACCAAAAACAAAGGGAAAATTAGCAGTGGCGTTCTGCACCATTTCTATGCGGGAAACTGTTTAATGTTTGTTAATTGTGGACTTGCCTCGACTGTTTTAAGAGGCATGGCGGACAATGCCTCACCGGCTTTGTTACCACTCTTTCGGATCGGATACGGAAAGGATTGGAACAGGGAACTGGCGCGTAAAGGTGGAAAAATTGAAGACGAGGAGCTGCGTATGCACCTGTCGAACTGGCCTATAGGAAGAAGAGTGTTACAAAGGAAAGGGACTTGTGATATGGACTCGTCTGTTGGTGTAATGAGGAGAGATGAAGGAGGATATGGATGTCTGAGGGTTGAGGTTGAGGTTGAGGCCGAGGTCGAGGAAGACGAAGCCGTTTCAAGACGGACCGAGTCGAAGGGAAGGAAGGATGACGGCAGTGTGTGTTGATTTTTACCCATGTCTTTTTCCTTTTCGATTCTGGTTGTGAAAGGATGGGACTGTTTCGATTTTAGGTTCGGTTACTTATACCCCAATGCCTGGAGTTGATTCCTTGCACACAAACATCATGGCCCCCTGAGTGACGCTTCGTGAACTGAACCAATTGAAAACATGATGTATTTGGGTGTATCCTGTGTATTGGGCGCGATTTGATTTAATTTGTGAAGAAACAGAGCATTTGCTATTAATCTGCACCAATTAGTTTGCTGTGAGATAGCAACACGTTCTTGGTTGTTTACTGTCAGTAAGTTGGTGTTTGACAGGCCTGTAAGATTGGCCAGTGACAGCGGCATGTCCCCTGTGGTGGGCGCTGGGCTGTCAGCCTGGGCTAAGCAAGTACCTGCCCGAGCTACTTATCGGGTACAGTGGGATTGTGGCGGCGGGAGGGGAAGCGTTCCAGATGTAAATGTGACAACGGCGATGCATGATGGCGTCGAAGGGGTTTGGAAGGTTCTCGAGTGTCAATTCATCAAGACTTCCATCCATTACTAATGTGGTTGTTGCATTGAGCTCTGGCGAGAAAGGTAAAATGGACCGGAATGAAGGGGGCGGTACGTCTTATGATGGGCAGGGATGAGTCTATGACCTGAAATCTGGGGTGATATGGATGTTGGTTCGCGGACTGCAAGGGCTTTGGACTCACGGCTTGCGGTGTTGTTGAAGTAATTAGAGATACATTGAGGTTGTAAATGGAGTCGAAGCTGAAAAGTTTAATATATATAGTAGGTAACATTTCGGGTCTGAAGATCAAGTCAAACTCAATCGATTTGGTTGAACTTTGTTGGCGAGCGAGGTTATTTGCGACCGCAGGGATACAACTGATAACAAAGTGATTGCTTTGGTGTAAGCATTCAGAGATTGAGCACTGATGTATTGAAGACATGTTTAATGGACAGGATATCAGAGGATTCCATGGCAGCAATTGGTCTTATTACAGCTGATATCTATACGATGATGCTCCTGATGGATCACCAAGACAGTCACATCGCCTCTGTTTAGGTGTACGGAGTTCAGGGGTCAAGCCAGGATCAGGCGTGTGATCTTAGACGAACCGATCACCAAGTTTGAATAAACTCGAGCTGTCATTGGTCCATTCTCAAGCTTGGACACTGTTATCTCCAGAGTGGTCTAGTGCGTTAGTGCGTCTAAACGAAAAAGGGCATGTCTCGTGTCTCTCGGCACGAGAGGTCCGCTCTGCCAGTGCGCGAGCGAGTGAGTGAGTGAGTCTGTGTGTGTGTGATGAGTGTGAGTGCTGAGGGGGAACGGACAGTTACGGACGGGGGCCTTCTTCTTTGGGAGATTCGCTTCTCTTCTTTAATCCCTCTTCCCTTTGGTTCTATCCTTTCCCCCAGATTTCGCAGTCAGTCTGTCTGTGGTGTTGATAATCCTCTTTTTTCTTTTTCACTGTTTTGCTCATCGTTTGCCTTCTTCTTAATCCAAGGGAGGACATCGGTGACACTTATCAATCGTTTTTTATCTTTCTCGTCGTCGCTACTTATCTCTCGCTCAAGTCACACAATCCAGTCCCGATCGATCGAAAAAGGCACACGCAGAATCTACGCGATAATTTCCAAATCAGACACTCGCTTCCTGTGGAGTTGTCCAACATCCTTCTGCTCTCGTTAAGAAGGACAATCCTGCGTATTCAGGGGATATTTCTAGAAAAGGGACAATCTTTTCGGATCGAGGACGCGCAAACTGTTTTGCGGCCCGCATTCCATCGCCCTTTTTGCACCCGATTCAACTGTCAATCAGCAGCCTGATAAAACGGTCGCTATCTACATCACGCAAATACACCTTTATTAATCACCGACAACAGCCCAAGTCGCTCGCTTGCTGGGTTGTTTCGACTGTCGCTTTTTGTGTCTACTCGGTTCAACAGCAGTCGCTCCCTGTTTTCGACACTTGAACGCCTTATCTACTCTTAATATCCCTCCCGATCACGGATCAGATCATACCATAATACCGAACCCCTAATTCGAGGGCGCTCTCGCATCAAAGCATCAGTTAAATCTGTTCTTGCTCGACTATTTTATATTCATAATGTTGCAATCTCTTGTTGTTGCTGCCCTTTTGGGCGCTAGCTCTGTTGCTGCCGTCCAGTGCACGCGCAGCAGCCACTGTCCCGAGGACTCGCCATGCTGCTCCAGTAAGTTGCCTGCACGAAGTTGATGATATCTGACATCTGACATGTATCAGCCTATGGTGAATGTGGTGTTGGTGCGTACTGTCTGGGTGGTTGCGATCCAACAATGTCCTTCTCACTCGACTCTTGTGTTCCCGCTCCCGTCTGCGAGGATCGCAAGATGAAGATGAACTCCCTCGATTCAATTGTCGATATCGGCAAGTATCTCGGTGACTCTTCAAAGGCCGACTGGGTTGCACAGGGTGAGCCTGTTGTTTTCCAGAACAACGTTCTTCTTACCATGCCCAAGGACAGTGTCGGCACTCTGCTGTCTTCTACTGTCTACATGTGGTATGGAAACGTCAAGGCTCGCTTCAAGACCAGCCGTGGCGCTGGTGTCATTACTGCTTTCATTCTCTTCTCTGACGTCAAGGATGAGATCGATTATGAGTTTGTTGGTACAGAGCTCGGCGATGCTCAGACCAATTATTACTTCCAGGGCATCACCAACTGTAAGTCGTCCCAGTGTCGTGTCACACAACAAGGTAGCCCCTTGTTCGTGGCACAGCCATGCATCCTCACGTGATTGTGTGTTGTACTTGACACGGCTGACACTTTGATAGACGAGAATTCCGAAAACATTACGCTGTCTGATACCTTTGCCAACTTTCACGACTACGAAATCCGATGGACCCCCGACAAGATTGAGTGGTGGGTTGATGGCAAGCTCGGCCGAACTCTGCAGAAGAGTGACACCTGGAATGCCACCTCTAAGAACTTTGACTTCCCTCAGACACCCTCTCGTGTGCAGCTTTCTCTGTGGCCTGGCGGTAAGGAGGGTAACGCCGAAGGTACTGTAGCATGGGCCGGAGGTCCTATCGACTGGGATTCTCCCGATATCCAGAAGAGTGGTTACTACTTTGCTACCTTTTCCGATGTTGAGATCGAATGTTACAACGCCAAGTCTGGTCCTGGCACCAACTCAGGTACTAGTTACTGGTACAAGGATGCCGCCGGCACTAACGACACCATTGTCGACGGTGATAAGAGACACACCATTGCTTCTCTGATGGCCACAGGTGAGGACATGGACAAGGGAAAGAAGACGGACACGAAGAAGGATAGCAGTGACGATAGCAAGGACGATAAGGACAGCAAAGATAGCAAGGACAAGGATAAGGACGACAGCGACGATGATGAGCCTGCCACTATTCCTGGCGGCAGCAGTGGCGCGCCATCCAACGACCACGGAGACGATAGCAGCTCTGACAGCAGCTCTGGTTCCGGTTCTAGCAACACCCCCTCGGGCAACCCTGACGGCGACTCAACTGGTACTGAGCCCGCTGACACCACCAACTGCAAGACCAACAGCTTCAACCAAGACTGCGCTAGCTCGAGCTCCAGCTCGAGCAGCAGCAGCGCAGATAGTGGAAATGGTTCCAACGCTGGCACACGGAACGGCGCAAGTGCTCTGGCCATTATCATCGCCGGCGGTGCTCTGTTCTGGCTGTAGTCAACGATGATGGCGTTTTGATGTCGGTCCTGCGACTCCTCCCATTAACCTCTCTCTTTTTCCTTACCACTCTTATATAGCATCTCACTGCACGTTTTCTGTTTAGCATTTCATGACGGTCGGCATTGAGATTTTTGTATGTAATTTCTTCTCTTTCATGTGTCCATATTCTGTTAGTAGAGGGACAATAATGGTAAATGGTTTTGCATGGGCTTCTCTAAATGAGGTATTTTCCTTGCTTGCTTGCTGTGCATGTGATGGCATGTGAAGAATACAGGGCGGCTTGAGTTATTTAGATATGTAATCATCTGGTCTATGCGCCTTGTTATGGAGAAGATGCGTGTTTGGGATTGAGTAGAGAGGATGGGTTAGATAGACTCCTTCGGCTTTGATGACATGATAAGGGCATCCGTGTTAAGATGACAGGTACTAAAATCTCACGTGCAAGCGAAGGATTAGTGAGTGAAAGTAAAGACAATTCGAATTGACCTGTTAGTAAAAGCAAAGGAGAATAAGCATAACCATTAGTCAAAGCGTTGGAGATGGAGACCAACCATGGCCTCGAAGAATGGCCAACCAATTCAGCCCTACTCCGAACATGGCATCATTTGGCCGGAGAAAAAAAAAGGTCTCGAGACTCAAGGGCTGAGCGTTTGCTCTTTTACCGCTGATCCAATCCCTTCTCATCTTGGCGGTCTCCTATAGACGCGAAACCCCCTGCATCTCAGCTCTAAGCGCTGGAGTCGCTATGCTCTGAACCAATTGTTA